TTAAAAAAAGATAACTCAAAGAACATTGAGTTAAAGCCTTGAACCGATCAAATTGCACAAAATTTAAGTAACATTAAAATAACAAACTAGAGGAACTTCGTTGCCTACGAAATTTTAATTCTGAGCATATTATAGCATGTTGAGGTTATACATGAAATTTGGTGGTCATTGGATAAGGATAAGTAGGTAAACCAAGAAATGGTGCATAATGACCATAATGCCCCTAAGGGTGTCTACCAATAGTTCATGACCTAGAGGACCTCCAAATGTTATTAAATTCTGTGGTAGACCTTATTTTGTGATGTTTGAGGGTGTGGTAAAGTTTGAAAACTATTGGAACACGTTAAGTATCAAAACAAGCCTACTTTTGAAAATTCAAGGTCTATGCGTGCTCCAAATTACTTGCTACTTCTTATAAGTCCTATTCTTAAGGACAAGAAGGTATTTTCAAAAGATCAAGTTGATTAGAGAAAGCTTGGAACCTAAAGCAAGTTAGGACCCAAGAAACGCCTAAAAGAAACACCTTAGGACTCAAGACCCTTCTAGAACCCTCTAAAGACAACTCATGCTTGTTATTACAATGTATTCATATGTTTACGAATGCATGTTGCAACTTATGCCTCAAGGTATTATGAACCTCAGAAACTCGCAAGATCTTGAACCAAGAACAATACCATACAAGCTCTACTACTACCAAAGCAAGAAGAATGGTAGGTACCATTCGAGGATAAGGGACCAAGGTCCTAAAAATCAGAAACTCAAGAAAAATCCTAAGACCCCCCACGGTACTACAAGTTTCTTGATTCAGACTACGTTGCTTGGAACGTATGAAGCCTTGAGCGTAGCTATTCAGATTATGCTCTTCGGAGCAATCTTCCAAAATCCGCAGATTACAGTAAACACAACAAATGTTATAAAAAGTCACAATCAACTCACTGTTCATAGCGAATATGGCGAGATGACTTGGGAATCCACCAAATGCCACCTTTGGGCGACTATGCTTTCGATTTTAGACCAAATGGGGTAAAACAAAGTTTTACTGCACCTTCAATGATCTGGATTGTCACATTACTTTGATATCTACAAGAATGATAGAGATAGAGCCAAATGCAACAATACTCTATGTTTGTGGATTGTGGGAGAACAAGGTATATGTATGTTAAACTATAAAGCAAAACGGTATGATATGTTCTGCACATGGCTACCAAAATGAATATAAAAAATCGATATATCCATAAATTGGTTGGTTCGATATGATATTATAATACTCGATATTTTTGGTATCTTATTTGTGTGCGTATGCTTTTTTCTTTCTTGAAAATTTGATATGGTTGTTAGGTTATGGAGCCTGATGCTTATTTATAGCTTGGTCAACGGTTATATCCGGTAGAGCTATATTTGGTAAAGCTATATATAGTAAAACTATATATGGTAAAGCTATATCCGGTAAAGCTATATATTGTAAATAGCTATATATAGTAGATGGCTAAATCTGGTAAAGCTATATATAGTAAACTAAACCATATATATATCTCGTTTGGTAGAGCTTTGAAAATGTACTTTTTCTATTCTCTATACTCTCTCTTGTTGTACATACCTGAAGTCATCAATAAAAAAAAAATATATATCCTTTTAGCCAGAGTTCTCCTTGAAATTTTCTCTATCCCATTCTTTGTGTTCATCTAGATCGAGCGTGTGCGTTGTTGTGTGATCCTATCAACTGGTATCAGAGCTAACGACTGGTATCGATCCTAACAACTGGTATCAGAGCTAGGCGGAAGTCAGAGCTAGGCGAAATTCACCACGATCTGTGAAGAAGGAAAGTTCAAAGATTGGAATTGAGAAGTTCGATGGATCCGATTTCGGTTTCTGGAAGATGCAAATTGAAGATTATCTGTACCAGAAAGATCTTCACGAACCTCCGTTGAGGGTGAAGCCGGATACCATGACCATGGGACAGTGGAGGCTCAAGGATCGACAAGCCTTAGGGATGATCCAGTTGACACTATCTAGAAACGTGGCGTTCAACATTATCAAGGAGAAGACAATGTCAGATCTATTGAAGATGCTGTCGAATATGTACGAAAAACTGTCGGCAATGAATAAGATGTATTTCTTGCGTAGATTGTTCAATCTACAGATGTCTGAAGGTGGATGTGTTGCTGATCATATAAATGAATTCAATATCATCATAAGTCAACTGAGTTCAGTGGAAATTAATTTCGAAGATGAAATTAAAGCGTTGATTTTGATGGCATCCTTACCCGAGTCATGGGATACTGTTGTTGCTGCGATCAGCAGCTCCCGAGGATCTGATAAACTGAAGTTTGGTGAAATTCAAGATGTAGTTCTCAGTGAAAGTATTCGCAAACGAGAAAGAGGAGATTCATCAGGCAATGCTCTCAGTGTTGATCGAAGGGGAAGGAGTAAACCGAAGGGCCCAAACAAAGGGTGATCAAAATCAAAGAACCGAGAAAAATCTCCAAATAGACCAAACGTAACGTGTTGGAATTGTGGAGAAAAAGGTCACTTTCGGACAGGTTGTACAAGACCAAAGAGGAAGCAGAATCACAAATCTAGAAATGATGATGATTCTATAAATTCAGCAGAAGACATTGGGGATGCTCTAATCCTCAGCGCGGACAGTTCGATTGAATCCTGGATTTTGGATTCAGGTGCATCTTTTCATTCGTCTCCAAATAAAGAGTTGTTCCGAAATTTCTAGTCAGGAAATTTTGAGAAGGTGTATCTTGTCGACAACAAAGATTTGGAGATTAAAGGAAAAGAAGATGTCTGCATAAAAACTCCGGCAGGAAATCAGTGGACATTAAAGGATGTCAGATATATTCCTGCTCTCAAAAGGAACTTGATCTCTATTGGTCAGTTGGATAGCATAGGTTATGCAACAAAGTTAGGGAAGGGTTCGTGGAAGATTATGAAGGGTGCTACGGTGGTAGCACGTGGCTCAAAATATGGAACCCTATACACCACTACAGGGTGTATGAACATAGCTATTGTTGCTGGGAGTGCTTCAAATTCAAGTCTACGACACAATAGACTTGAACCTATGAGCGCAAAAGGAATGAGGAAGCTAGCTGCGAAAGGAGTTTTAGAAGGTCTGAAATCTGTTGATGTGGGTCATTGTGAGAACTACGTTATGAGCAAGCAGAAATGAGTTAGCTTCACAAGGACCGCTAGAGAATTGAAGAAAGTGCAGTTGGAAATGGAACCAAATGTGGAGCAAGGTTCCAAGACCACGAAACTCCAGAGGGGGTTGCTTCGCTCAAACTCCAGAGGGAGTTGCGTTGGTCGGAAGCGTCGCTGAAACTCTTGCGTCGGTCGGAAGCATCGCTGAAACTCCAAAGGAAGTTGCGTCGGCCGGAAGCGTCGCTGAAACTCCAGAGGGGGTTGCGTTGGCCGGAAGCATCGCTGAAACTCTAGAGGGGGTTGCGTCTCTGAAACTCCAGAGGGGGTTGCGTCGGCCGGAAGCATCGATGAAACTCCTGAGACTCTTACTGAGAAACCAGAGGTGAAGCAAGTGGGAGTTGAGGTTGAGTTGTTGAAAGATTCACATAGTGATGTTGTAGCGGATACTAAAGAAACTCCTGAGACTCATGCTGTTGGCGAGGAACCCGGTCTATCATTCAAAACACAGAAGGCAATACCATTTCACTCGGAGGTTAGTTGAAGATGGTGACGTGTTTGGAGAAGATAGAGGGTGCAAAGAATCCAACAAACATGTTGACAAAATGTGTTGATGTTGGAATATTGAGGTTGTGCAAAACCTCAATTGGTATGGTGCAGTGAAGATGCTCATGGTCGTTTGAGAGTGAAATTCTTGGTTGACTAGATCAGTCTCCAAGTGGGAGAATTGTTAGGTTATGGAGCTTGATGCTTATTTATAGCTTGCTCAACGGCTATATCCAGTAAACCTATATTTGGTAAAGCTATATATGGTAAAGCTATATATAGTAAACTAAACCTTATATATATCTCGTCCGGTAGAGCTTTGAAAATGTACTTTTTCTATTCTCTGTACTCTCTCTTGTTGTACATACCTGAAGTCATAAAAAAAAAATCCTTTTAGCTAGAGTTCTCCTTGCAATTTTCTCTATCTCATTCGTTGTGTTCATCTAGATCGAGCGTGTGCGTTGTTGTGTGATCCTAACAACTGGTATCAAAGCTAACGACTGGTATCGATCCCAACAATGGTGTATTAGTTTTAATGAAATATAAAAACGCCACTAAAATATCAACTTATAAATAGAGTTTTTCAACATTTTTATCCATTCCAAATAAAATTTAAAAAAAAAATTAATGAATAGCCTTTAAAAGCATAAAAACAAAAAACAAAAAAAAGATCTTTAATGGGTATAAAGATTATGCCAAGCATTATAATCTTTCCTTTTAAATGTTTTTTTAAAATAAAAAAAAAATTAATGGATATCATATTATCATTACTTGTGGATTCATAGACTTGTCCGAGCAAAGAATCCAAGCCCTGTATTCTCCACCTTCAAATATCTTAAACAAAGTAAGGGTTTGACCCATTTGTAAAATGGCATCTCTTTCATCATCATTAGGACCTCCAACAACGCTTTCTCTTGTATATTAAAAATAGAGATTGTAATTTCTCAAGTCCACTGCTAGTAGATATTGTCCGCTTTGGCCTGTTATATATCCTCATCAACATCACGGTTTTAAAACGCGTCAATTAGAGAGAGGTTTCCACACCCTTATAAATAATGATTCGTTTCCCTCTCCAACCGATATGGGATATCGCAATCTACCTCCCTTAGGGACCTAGGATCCTCATTGGCACACTGCTTAGTGTCCAACTCTGATACCATTTGTAACGTTCCAAGCCCACCCTTAGTAGATATTGTCCATTCTGGCCCATTACATATCATCTTCAACCTCACGGTTTTAAAATGTGTCTATCAAGGAGAGATTACAACACCATTGTAAAGAATATTTTGTTCCCCTCTTTAACTGATGTGGGATTGAACAAAGATGGAGATCTTTTTAAAGACTAAAATAGGAGTTCCATAACAAAATAGCTCCTTTCAAAAACTATACAAAGAACACTTTATTGAATCCTAAAACAAATGCAAAATCTAAGCAATAGTTGGGTAACATAACCATTACCTCATATACTACAAACTCTAAAAATACTCTACAGGTTCTTTCCTATTATCGATGTTGCTCCATTCCCTGTTTGATGTTAACTTCTTGACAGTAATGGCCTGTCAAGAATGCGTCAAGAATGCATCACTGCCTTGTATACAGTCCCACCATAAGCACATATCTCGTGAAAAGTATTCGTGGCCTCAATTAGATCTTGGAAAGAAAATCTTTCCTTAGGTGGAAAATAGACATCCGAATCCATAGATTTTCTTTCCTTGTTTTGAACCATTTCGGATGGATGTCTCATGCAATATAAGATGATCATATCTAGAACGATAGAAACTCCACCTACCTCAAAAGATGGACCCGATGACCTCCATTGCAGTTGTCAAGAGGTCCACCACATAGCCCCTCTTTGTCAATGAAGCTACTAGTGGGCATGTTCTGAAACAAAGTTATTGAAGGAATCGGATGTCTCACGTTATGCTATATTGCTATGTCGTAACAAAATTAGTAAATTTTGTACTTACAATAGAATGACTATATTGGTTCGATTGTTTCTTACATATTAACTAGCATTTTGTTTGTCAAGAAAAGCATATTGGTTCGATTAAACTGAAACAAAAGCTCAGACAAAATTTGTGAAAAATCAAATGATTAACTACTAAATTGATGTAATATATATAATATTACCATTATTAATACAAAAATATATTTATGGATATAATAAAAAAATAAAAAAAAGATGTTAAAGTAATATTCTTATCCATTTATCTCAAATTCCATTTTATTTTACTTTTTTTTTTCTTTTTTACTTCGAATTTATAAAATTTAGTTGAAAAAGTAATTTATGAAAAAAACAATACTATGTGAATAAGTGTGACTTTTGAGTAAAATAAAGGTAAATGAATCACCTAAGATCACATCCTTATAAGAGCGACCGTGAGGATAAGATGACTAAGAAATGTTTAAAAGACTTGAAAGTCTGTAACGACCCTAAATTTCCATATACTCAGAGTCGATAGTAATGTCTCATGCTCATCTATAATGCAGAAATAAAACTCTTACATGAACATAATTTATAACGTAAACTTCAAAAACACTTTTAAAACAACTTCTTCTCTGGAAAACACAGCCATGATCTTGCGTGTTTAAATATGAATTACTGAAATTTAGAGAAAACAAAAACAAATACAAAATAATTTAAAACAATGAAATGCAAAACAACCTATTCTAACTTAAGACTATAAATTTAAATATGAATCTACCCTATGCACGTGCCATAGTCTCTGCTCACGATGGCGCCGTCCTCCATACAAGTGCGCCTTGCCTTTACCTGAAAAATGATGTGGCACACGGCCTGAGTATTTCAAAGAATACTCTGTAAGTGGCCCCACTATAGGGGCCATGCAATCATGATTTAGGGACCTATCTCTAATCATCTTAGGGGTGGCCTCCAATCTCGGACAAATTGGATGTGTAGTACTTCCCTACACACGACTCACACGTGTGAGTATGAATCCCCAGGGCGCTCGCACACCCCCTGGACCCTCTGGTCAAGCTAATCTGTAGCGACGTCCAGAGGTCAGCGGAACCCCATAGTGTCATGCACCCCATGAACACCCTCATTTGTGTGCATTCGCACCTGTGCGCATTTGCGCTCATCATACGGTGCGCGTCCGCACTCATCATCTCTAGGGGAAGTAGCCCTATGTTTATGAACATACAATATGCATGAGGTCCCTCTAAATCCATCATAATGTCTCTTCTGACACAACCCTCTAGTCTCATCTCTTTGTTACTCTAGGTAACACATACTCGTGAATATTTATATTAATATCACTTACACTCTCTTAGGGTTGTGTCCTATGTCGATCTAACGACATGATGCAATATGGCACTCATCATCATATAGCATGCTCAATATGGAAAACATCATCATATTAAGGTAAACGTCACGCAATCATCATACTCATCATATTGCCACAAAATGCATCAAACATATCAAGTACGACATTCATCAAAATATATATATACTAAGCACATCATCAAGTATCGTAACTCACACATCATCATAACTATACATCATCATAACTCATATACCGCATCGTACGACATAGTTCATACATCATCGTAACTCATGCAATTTTTAGCCTATCCTATAGTAAGACTACTTACCTGGTTGGCCTTAGCCGAAGTATTCCCTAATTTATTTAACGTAAGCTCCCGTTCCTCCAGAACTACACAAAATGTTGCCAAAGTTTGTTTCCTATGCATCGTTCGTCACCTTTTGTTAGTATTTCACATTTTAATTAATAATCCAACTAACCGTGTGAAATACGACTCTAAACAGTCTCAATAAAAATCGAATTCCATGTTTTCATTGTTTCCAAATTATATAGGATAAGAAAACTTAAAACTTAAATTAATAATATGTCAATATTATTAATATTTCAAGTGGCTTGTATAATTCAACATTTAATGCTATATCCTATAGATACAAATATAATAATTTCTCATATTTTCCATTTTTCTTCCCTCACTCATTTCTCTTCTATGTTATATTTTAATTCTATTTACACAGTACTTGCAATTTTCAACTCGTTCTAATTTTCTTTTTTTTCCTAATATCTTCTCTCTCTCTTTTTTTTGCACTCTAATTCTTTTGAGCGGTTCAATTCTACCTCCAATTATTTTAAGCAATTTAAATCTAATTATTTTAATCACTTTCTCGAACGAGTTTAATTCTATAATTCTTTTAAGCGGTTTATTCCAAGGGTTTAATTTTACTCCTATATCTAAATAGTTTAATTCTGTTTATCAGTTTAATTCTATTCCCACATTTTCTTTGGCTTTACTATTCCCGAATCTTAGTTTTTTTTTATTTGACTATGTTTTCCAGATCTTCCTTTTCATCCTATTTGCCAAATCTTCGTTCTTCTTCCCACATTTTCTTTGGCTTTACTATTCCCGAATCTTAGTTTTTTTTTATTTGACTATGTTTTCCAGATCTTCCTTTTCATCCTGTTTGCCAAATCTTCGTTCTTCTTTTTTTTTATTTCAATATGCTTTCCAGATCTTCCTTTTCATCCTGTTTGCCAAATCTTCGTTCTTCTTTTTTTTTTATTTCAATATGCTTTCCAAATCTTCCTTTTCTCTATTTTTCCTTATTTAGATTCACACGATTACATTCATTCTCGGTTTGACCATTTGACAAACACGTCGAATGGATTAACTAAGTTTCAGACCGCAATTTAGTAGGAGGTGCCACAAATATAGTTGGCCACTCTCCAGCCATTATTAAAATTGAGTTATATTTAAATAGGAAATCGGTTCAGAATATTGGATAACCTGAATAAAAGGCTCAGTCAAATGTTTATCATTCTCTCTCTTTCTTATTTTACTCATTTTATTTTTTCTTCATTTGTAACTCAGATCTAAATAATTGCTAATAGGAAAAAGGTAAATCTTGCTAACCTTTTCAAATGACATTTCTCTTCCTCTACCTACCATCTCTCCATTATCTGCCTTCCTTCAGTATCTCTCCTATAACCATCTCTCCATTATATGCATTTTTTTATTGATACTAGATGATGGAGGTATTTTAGGGGATGGCTGGAGAGATAGGAGGTGGTCAGTTTTTTTTTTTTTTTCTGTTCTTTATTTGTTATTTTTATTTTAATACACACATATATATGTATATATATATTAAACTTAACGGGGCATTACAAAGTCACTACCTATATAACGAAAGAGCACCTTCCTTTATGGTAGCTCAATCATAGAACTACATGGTTAAGCATGCTTTACTCGGAGAAATTATATGTTGGGAGACCTTTCAAAAAATTTCCTAGGATGCATGTGAATGAGGACAAAGCATGTTGGAAAAACTACTTTGGTCTATCGAGATAGTTTTCATGCTTAGAAACGAGGAGTAATATCACAATTCCATTCTTCTCACACGAGTCACGACTATCTTGGAAACATAAAATATATTTTAAGCAATTAAAACAATGTTTGACTCCGTATGACACCTGCTCCTATTTGTGTCCATCCTCGACCAGCTTCTTCTTATCAATTGAAAAACAAGAAAAATCTTGAATGAGTATAAAGACTTAGTAAGTAGCCTACTTATAGGCTCTTAATCGTGTCGTTAAGGTGTGCTTGGTACAAATATTCAGTAGGTAGCCTACTTATAGGCTCTAAATCGTGTCCTTAATGTGCACTAGGATATCACACTCTTTCTTGTCATATTCTTGACTGAACAACTTCTGATCTTTAAGTTCAATTCTAGAGTTTAAGTTCTTGTCATGATCTTTCTCAAAAATCTTGATTTTGGGATCTGAGTTCCTAATCTATGTTCTTGCCTAAGGGTCTTAGTTCCAAGGTTCACGAATCTTAATAATGAGAACTTGGATCTTGATCCATGTTCTAATCCTCATCCTTAATTCTTAGTTTTAGTCTATGTCCTTCATCTTGTTCTTGGTTCCTATTCTTATTTCTTATTCTTGTTTGTCATTTTGTTTCCTAAGACACTCCCCCTTGGAATTATAGTACAAGACATGAACTTGATAACCTGTGTCCAAGAATTCATGCGTTCCAAGCGACACAATCTTAGCCTATGTCCAATGCTTCATGCGTTTCAAGTGACGTAGTTTTAGCCTGTATTCATGGCTTCATTCATTCCTTGCAATTTAATCTGAAACCTACACCATAGGCTTATTACATTCCATGTGGTGTAATTTAAAACCTACATCCAAGGGTTCATATGTTCCAAGTGACATTGCCTGGAATTTTGAGAAGGGAATGAACTTTTCATCCACATAGCGGAAGCATTGGGAACAATTTTGATTTTTATTAAGAATTAAAATAAGGTAATAAATAAGAGAGAAAGAATTCTACCTTTGTAGAAACCATAGCTTGCAAAACTTCTTGAAGTATTCCAACCATGAAAAAGTTCTCCACCGTACTTAGGTTTTCATCCAAAAAAAAAAACACAAAACAGTAGTATTCTACCGAGTGTCTTGTATTCTCTTTTCGTTTGGTGTCAATAAAGAGTGCGAGTGTTTCCCATAGCGAGTTGTGTTCAACAATCTTGTATCAAAGCGAGGTCGGTTTAGGTTGTCTGATCTTTTGGAATTCTTAATATGCTTTGTGGTTGAAGCTTTGTCTGATCTTCCATATCAGAAACGATTTCTTGAGATTTTTGGTGAGTGAGTTTATTTGTGTCTTGAGTAGTCTTCGACTCTACAAGTATTGTATGTATAGCAAACACGATGAGTATCCGCGAATGCATGAGCACACATTAATTCATGAGGTTCCAATATTTTTCCATTTGAAACATTATTAAATATAACCCCGCTATCATTTTATTCGTATCATACCATTTCTCATATCAGTTATTATATCGTTCATGCTTATATCGGGGTTATATTTCATACTATTTATCGTTTTTCATGTCATTCGTATCATGTTATACATGCAATTCATAAGACGTAACATAAAATTTTCAAGCTTTCAACATAACGTTTCGTAATGCGCAATTCATACAGTAAATACCTTACCAGTCACATAATGCAATCCGAGCATAAATATCACATCACATTATATCTTATATCAATTCATCCAAGACTACATAACGTTCACGTTGTATAACATTTACGTATTAATCATAATGGTCTCAACATACAAATTATGACACATGGGAAACCAAAGGCATGTGCCACCATACAACGTACAATTTCACGACGGTAGGGCCACTTACTTGGTTGACCTAGACCGAAGCTACTACGACTCCTTGATGCCAGGGCTACTTAACACTGCTCTCTGAAATTTAATTCCGCCTAATGTATCCAACAATCATAAATTAGTAGTATTGTAACGACCCGAAATTTTCTACTTAATTTAAGGTCGCTATTGTATATGTACCATAAACATTGAATGCATAAGACTTCATTTAAATTTCATAAAACATAACTTTTATCTTAAAACACAACCATGGCCTTACGTGTTTTGAAAACATCTTTAAAACGATACAACAAAAGACTAAATAAAATAAATAAGCGTTTAAGTTAAAAACATCCTATTCTAGCCTAAGTCTAAGAAAATAAATACCACTATCCTATGCATGTGCCATGATCTCGAGTTGAGATGCCGTCGTCAGCTGTACAGGAATACCTTACCTTAACCTGAAAAATGTAGTAGCACATGGCCTGAGTATTTAAAGAAATACTAAGTAAGTGACAAGGGTTAAATGCAACAATCACATCCAAATGAGATGAAGGGACTTATCTTTCAATCTGTCTTCCTACGGTGTTGTTCTAACGAGTAATTTGGACGTGTACCATATACTCTACACACAGCCCATACGTGCGAGTATGGGCTCACCAGCTAGTTCGCACATCGCTGGGCCACTTTCCTTGTCGGGCGAGCATACTCTGGGAGCTCCTTAGGCCGGACACCTGTTAGAACTAGTAACCGTCACAGCAGCGCTATGCAAAACATAACGATCGTTGTCCTACCATTGGATGTACACGTCCGTACCCTCGTGATGGAATAGGGGTATCCCCCAATGCATGCGCACACATAATGCATGAGGTCCCAAAATTTTTCTATTTTCATTATCATTTAATACAACTCCGTTAGCGTTATGTACATATCATATCATTTTTCATATCGTTTCAAATATCGTTCATCATTCATATCATATCGTTTCTCATTCTTCAGTTCTCAAATCATACATAATTCTAACGGGGTTATATTTAATGCCATTTATCGTCATTTCATGTCATTCATATCATGCTGTATACACACAGTTTAAGAGACCTAACATAACGTTCTATGCTTTTCGCATAACCTTTCATCATATACATATCATACCATGACATATTGCATCACAATGCATCATATCATAAACAAGTCATAAAGTAAACACTTCGTAGTCATATCGCTCTAACTTATCATAGCCTTAACGTTCTTATACCTATCACAGACATATCGTTACGTGAACGTACCTTAGTCATATCATCATAAGAACGTATCCTAACGCTATTGTTCTATCAATCTATCACAAACCTATCCCTTTTTACTCGTAACCTAACCGTATTCTTCCATCAATCTCTCTTATCCATATCACTCTAGTATGTAATCTAGCCTTAACGTTTCATGAACGTATTTTGCTCCTATCATTACATTTCGTTTTGTGCATCCTTCTCCTATCCTATCTCAAACATATCCTTGAACACATCGTACCGTAATTATTATCATACAATTCACATATTATAACATATACATAACATATAAGAAGCATATCGATCCACAGAAAATTCTCACATATCCGTATATATGACACGTGCAGAACCACGGGGCACATGTCAACATCAAATATAACCATGCTGATAGTAAGACAACTTACCTGATTAGCTTAAGTCGTTGTCACGAATATATCTTGAATGAAAGTTCGATTCCGTCCTTTGAAATCCGAGTCAACATATGTGAACCCATGACATCAGTTTCAAGTTTGAACTCTACAAAATTAGTTCGCTAATTTACATTGGTCCATTGTTAAAAGTCTTGAAATGTTATATATCCATAATTATATTTTTATTAAAAAATTTATTTTTCATGGTTACTGTTGTATAAGAAAGTAATACAACTATTTCAAGTTATTCTCGGCTTTACTATATTTTCCCTCTGTATTTACCTTTCTCCCTATATTTATAGTTGTGGTTTTTAATTCCTTAATTCTTATTTATCTGTTGCTTTTTAATTCTGTTCTCATATTTATCTGTTGCATTTTAATAAATTTCGAGTGGATCTCTGTTTCCAAATCTTTCCTAATCTTAGTGTTTCATATTCAAAGTTTTTCTGTCAGATTACTATAATCGTATAAATGATTGACATTTAATTTTTAACTCAAAGCTAGACCATGGTAATATTTAACAATAATTGGTTGTGATTTCTAAAAAAAATAGGATAAAAGAAAATGAAGATTTATATATGCCTTATCTTCAACTTAAATCTACAGTGAATCTCAACTGGGTAAAGGCCATTCCCATTTTTTTTTCCTCAAGTAAATCTGACCATTATTGTTTTTTCTTTTTCTTTTTGCAGTAAAGTAATTGTTATTTCTGGCAAGGTGGGTTGAGGAGAGATAATTGTGGGAAGGAATGAGAGGTTAGTGGAGAGGAGCGGGGAAATGTTGTTTTTTTTTTTATAAATTATTTTATTTATTTTAATTAATTAATTTATATTATTATTATTATTATTATTATTATTATTATTAACTATTTTTTTATTTGTTTATTTGTTTATTTATTTTTTAGCTATTACAACTCTGGGAGTTTACTCACCTAATCTTGCATGAAATGATTTTAAACATACTCCTAATGATTTAAACTATGTCTAATTATGCATAAATAATTTAAGTTTGATTCCATAAATTTAACTTAAGCCTAATTGTGCATAAAAACTCGATCATAATAATTTAAACTAAGTCTAATTATGCATAAAAGCTTACTCCCAATAATTTAAACTAAGCTCAATTATGCATACAGACTTACTCCAAATAATTGAAACAAAGCTTAATTATGCATACAAACTTACTACAAATAATTTAAACAAAGCCTATTTATGCCTAGAAACTTAATCCTAATAATTTAAACAAGGCTCAATTATGCATAAAAGATTTAAAATCGATTAAAAAA